TTGTTCATTTAGTAGCATGTTGTTCAGTCTCCATGAGTCTGCATATGTTCTAGAGATGCTTGAGATGGTAATTTCTAGCTTCATACCATTGTGATCAGAGAAGATGCATGGAATGATTTTGATTTTTTGTTTTGTTGAAACTCCCTTTATGGCCTAGAAGGTGGACTACCCTGGAGAATGTTCTATGTACTGGTGAGAAGAATGTGTATTTTACAATAGTAGGATGAAAAATTCTGTAGATAAACATTAGGTCCATTTGGTCTATAGTGTTGGTTAGATCTGTTGTTTCTTGGCTGATTTTCTGTCTTGTTGATCTGTCTATTGATGAAAATGGGGTATTGAAGCCCCCCAATACTATTTTGGAGTCTTGTCTCCCTTTAGACCTGTTAACATTTTTTAAAATAACCAAATAACCTGTAATTGGGTGCATTTACACTTATTGTAGCCATATCTTCCTATTGAATTGATCCTTTAATCATTACAGAGTGTCCTTCTTTGTCTCTCTTATTTTGTTTTATTTTATTTTTTTGATAGGCAGAGTTAGACAGTCAGAGAGAGAGATGGAGAGAAAGGTCTTCCTTTTCCGTTGGTTCACTCACCAAATGGCCATTATGGCTGGTGTGGTGCGGCCGGCGCGCTGCGCCGATCTGAAGCCAGGTGCCAGGTGCTTCCTCCTGGTCTCCCATGCGGGTGTAGGGCCCAAACACTTGGGCCATCCTCCACTGCCTTCCTGGACCACAGCAGAGAGCTGGACTGAAAGAGGAGCAACCGGGACAGAATCCGGCACCCCAACTGGGACTAGAAGCCGGGGTGCCTGTGCCACTTCTTTGTCTCTTTTAACAGTTTTTCTTCCTATTGAATTGATCCTTTATTAGGAAGACTACGGCAGCACTTTGTCTCTCTTATTTTGTTTTATTTTATTTTTTTGATAGGCAGAGTTAGACAGTCAGAGAGAGAGATGGAGAGAAAGGTCTTCCTTTTCCGTTAGTTCACTCACCAAATGGCCATTACGGCTGGTGTGCTGCGGCCGGCGCGCTGCGCCGATCCGAAGCCAGCTGCCAGGTGCTTCCTCCTGGTCTCCCATGCGGGTGCAGGGCTCAAGCACTTGGGCCATCCTCCACTGCCTTCCCAGGCCACAGCAGAGAACTGGACTGGAAGAGGAGCCACCAGGACAGAATCTGGTGCCCCAACTGGGACTAGAACCCGGTGTGCCGGCGCTGCAGGCGGAGGATTAGCCAAGTGAGCCGTGGTGCTGGCCTCTCATTTGCTTTTGGTTAGCACGGAATATCTTTTCCATCCTTTCACTTTCAGTCTGTAGGTATGTTTATTGGTGAGATGTATTTCTAGTAGGCAGTAAATAGATGGGTCTTGTTTTATATCTGATCAGCAATTCTGTATCTTTTAACTAAGAGCTGAGTCCTTTTATATACAAGGTGACTGTTGGTAAGTAATGACTTGGCCCTGCCATTTTTCCATAAATATTCCTATTGTTTACTTTGGATTTCTTTTGTACTTTTACTGGGAGATTTTCTACTTCACATTCTTTCGTATGGATGACTATGTTTCTGTGTTTCTGTGTGTAGCACATCCTTAAGCATCTTCTGTAAGGCTTGCTTAGTGGTAACAAATTCTTTCAATTTCTATTTGTTATGGAAGGTCTTTATTTCACCTTCATTCATAAATGAGAGTTTTTCAGAGTATCTGGCTTGACAATTTTTTTTCTCTTAAGACTTGGACGATGTCTTGCAATTCTTTCCTAACCTGTAGGGTTTCTGATGAGAAATCAGCTGTGAGTCTAATTGGAGATCTTCTGAAAGTAATCTGACATTTCTTTCATGCACCTTTTGGAATCTTTGTGTTACTCTGGAGAGTTTGACTCCAGTGTGTCACGGTGAAGATCTTTTCTGGTCGTGTCTGTTAGGAGTTCTGTGTGCTTGCTATACTCGGACATCCCTTTTTTTCTCCAAATTGGGGAAGTTTTAACTAAATAGGCCTTCAGGAATTCCAGAGTCCTGTATGTTGGGTCATTTGATAATATCCTATAATTATCCAACATTGTTTTTAATTTTTCTGATTTCTTCATCTTCCTTTTTTTTGGTGTGACTAGAATTTCTAGAGATTTTTCTTCTAACTTGGATATTCTCTCTTATGCCTTACCAAGTCTGTTGTTACAGCTCTCCACTGCATTTTTTTTTATTTCATCTATGAATCACCTATTGAATTCTTCATTTCTAATATTTCATTATGGTTTCTCTTTAACATCATAATTTCATGGGAAAAATTTTTTATTCATGTGATATATGGGTTTCTTTAAATTGTGATTATTTCTTATTGGTACGGAGTAATCCTGTGATTAATCTTCTGAATTCCATTTCTTGTATTTCATCAATCTTTTCATCTTCACATTGTAGTATTGAAGTGTTATTGTATTTCTTTGGGAGTATTATGTTTTCTTCCATAATCTTGCTTCTTGAGTGTCTCCATTTATTTTTACGTTTTTGTGGAGATACTGTTGTTGTTTTTCTCTTTTCTCCTCTGATGGCTCTTATCTTTGGTCTATGCTTCTGTGGCTTAGTGGATTGTCCATTCTTTCTGTGAATACTCAGAGGTGTGTGCTGGGTGTGCCAGGGAGCTCTCTCCAGTGCTCCAGTGTAGGGGAATACTGAAGGTGACATCCAAGTTGGTTGTGTAGATGTCTCTGTGGTTTTTTTTTTTTTCTTTTATCAGAAAGGAGAGATTGGATCAGCTCTGTTGGTGTAGTCTCATCCTCTACTTCTCGCCTCCAAGGTCACCAATGCCTGCGTGCTTGCTGCATTGGATATAATATTCATCTGTGCTGCCACAAGAACCACACAAGCAGTCCTCTATGTGAGCGTATTCTACTGCAATGACCTTCCCCCTCATCAGGCATCAGGTAGCCCTGAGCATGTGGAGCTGCCCACAACAACTGCTCAGAGACCCAAACACACCCTGAGCCCTCCCACACTGCCACAGTGTTTCCACAGTCCCAGCAAGCCAGCCTCCCCAAGTCACGGGGTGCAAGTATCCACTCTGCCCTATCAGTTCGTCTCATCCACATGGAGGTGGACATGCGCCCAGAGCCAGCCGCCTGTGGGTACTCCACTCAGGCAGTCTGAGCCCTATAGCCTGTGATGTGCTGGGTGACTGAGGGTACCTCACAGTCCTAAGTGGGCATCCAACCCCCATCAGTCCTCCCAGCAAGACTCAGGTATCTCCTCTCATTTGGTTGCTAGACACTTAGACACAAGCTGGTGTAGCTGTTATATATGTCCAAAATGGCACCTGCCTTCTCTCTTCCAGTTGCAGGGTCCCATTGTCAGGGAGACAGGGAATGAGAAACATACGTCTGTTTTCCCCTCTAGTTTGACAGGTACACGATCTACCAAAGGACTCTAGGCCAGACTTATAGCAAGCTCTCCCTGAACCTATATTGCTAGTGGCTTGGACTGCTGCAGTTTGGTTTTATATCACTCTCCAAAGATGGTGTTGAGGCTCTTGGGTGCTCAGGTCGTATGTTGTGTCTGTGTTTGTGCTGTGTGTCCACACCCTCCGCATAGAGCCACAGAGCACCTCTTCCTTTCGTTGCGTTTCCTCTGCAGTTTTATCCCTAACCATATCCTAGATTGCACTTTCTCCATTTTTTAAAACTGTCTTGCCCTAGCCTAGAGCAGTGAGCTTCCTCTGTATTCTGCCATTTGGAATCTCCTTGTTTAACTTCTACACACAAATTAATTTTTTGTGTTAATTTGAAATGCAGACAGGCATACATGGAGAAAGAAGAACACAGGGAGTTCTTCCATCTTTTGGTTCATTTCCCAAATGACTGTGAGAGTTGGGGCTTGACCATGAAGCCAGGTAATCATACAGATTTTCATGTGAGTGAGAGACCTAAGTCCTTTAACAGAGGCTATAACTGAGAGCTGAAATGGGACTTGAACCCATGTATTCCAATATTGGATGCAGATATCTCAAATGGAGGCTTGACTGCTTCCTCTGACACTCAGTCATAACCTTGTTTGAGTTCCATAGGTATATGCTATTTACTTGTGTCTTAAGAAATTGTATGGAAAATGCAGCTATCTAATGTGTATTGTTAAAATGTTATTTTCATAATTTGGTTATGTTAGTTTTCTCAGAGTCCAGAGATACTAAGAAAAAAATGGTAGACTTTAATCTTACCTCTGAAGGGTTCTTAATTTCTTACACCTTAATACCTGATGTTGCCTCTTGTATGAAATTCAAAAAGAATGGTGGAGGAAATGGGAATAGATGGGTCTGAGCAAAGATAAAGTGGGAGAGTGTGTGAGTTTTAAAGAGGAGAGGCTTAAAACACATTCATTTCCTTAGAAATAGCAATTAATTATTTAGGGTATTTTAGTGATTGCTCAGTCTCTATAAATTCCTCACATTTGTTACTTTTTGTTCTTTCCTCTACAATTATAAAAATATCAAGAAAAATATGAAACTAATTATAACAATTACAGTTCTTAGGGAATTTGCTTGCTCTAGTAGTTAAAGCACTATCTGGTATGTCCCATATGGGAGTGTTCGGGTTTGAATCTCATCTCCACTTCCTTTTCCAGCTTTCTGATAATGTATATTGTCAGAGACACAGAAATGTCTTCATTGTTTGAGCCCCTGTATCTCATGAACTAGATCTGCTTCTTCAGAGCCCCTGTGTAGAGCTTTCTCTTCCCGGTCATGTGGCATTGGGGGAATGAACCAGAAGATAGGAAGACTCCTTTGATACGTATGTGTGTGTGTGTGTATACCAAAATTAAATCGATCAATCAATCAGTTTTAAAATTACGTTTGTGTTGTAGGTTTCAATAAAGCTGGACATAAAGGAACTCTTTCAGCTAGAAGTGCCTTGTGTGGCAAAGATGCTGAACAATCAGTGAGATTCACACATGTTGTGTTCGTGGCTTTCAAACTCCAGGTTTAAAAACACTCAAAAACAGAGACAGAGAAAACCATAATTGCATGCTGATTATTTTATTGTTACTTGGAAGACAGAGTTATGACCACATTGTTCTTGTGTTCTGAGGGGGGGGGAAGTCTTCTTATCTTATTCACTTTCTGAAATAGACAAGCACACAAACAGGAATGTTCATAGCGAAGACACAACTCAGCAGGAAAGTTTTGATTCCCCATTGGTTTTAGTGAAGTAGATAAAGAAAACACCATCCCTGCCTCTTCCACTTCCCCTTCCCCCTTTTCTTTCTTCATGTCTCCTTGTTCAGTCTTAATATGCACCCAGGAGATCACATCCTACAGATTGTGTTTCACAAGATGAAGAAAGTAGACTCATCCTAGTTGCTTATCTTTTAGTTGATATTAAAATGTTGAAGGATATATTTACCAAGATGGTTGCTGAAACATATGCTGCAATAAGGAAAAACTGAATGCAGCCTAAATGTCCCTTGTCAGGGTGTTAAAGAAAGCAGAATAGTCACATAATGCAGTACTATACCAGTGTTAAAGAAAAAACACACAGAACAAATGAACAACAGTGGGTCTGGCATGGTGATGTAGTGAGTTAAACTGCACCTGCAATACTGGTATCCCACATGAGTGCTGGTTTGACTCTCTTTTATGTACTTCCCAATGAGACCATGATAATGTAACTCGGAAAGCAGTAGAAGTTGCCTCAAGTTCTTGGGTCCCTGCCACCCATATAGGAGAGACCTGGATGAAGTTCAGGCTCCTGGCTTCAACCATTCTGGGGCCTTTAGAGAGTGAAACAGTGGTTGGAAGTCTTTCTCTCTCTCTCTCTCTCTCTCTCTCTCTCTCTCTCTCGCTCTGTTCTGTCTCCCTCTCTGTCTCTTTTATCAACCTGTTCCTCTACCTTTCTCATAAATATCTTTTTAAAATCAACGTCAGAAACACATTAATGAAGAGATCGGTACATCTCTGTTAACTGGAAGTTTTCTTGGATCTTTATTTAAAAATTATACATAGATCTCCATATTAATTATGAGATTGTTTCTGAAGAAAGGATTCTATGTGCACGTGTATGTATGTGTGTATATATATATATATATATATATAAAGTACGATGTGCAAGGGGTTAGTAGTGAAGGCATTCTGTGAAAGGTGAGGTTGTAGGATGAGATATACTTTCATCATTAACTAGGTACGTTTCAAATCAGGTTTTTATTTACAATGAGAAGGAATTAGTTTTTCTTAGAAAATTATGAGTTTATTTGGTATGGAAAGAGTAAATAGATAAAGATAGCCAAAAGATTCTCTATTCAATGGTTCCTCCTCAGATGCCCACAGAGTGTAGGATTGGAATAGCCCAATGTCAGTAGCCAGGTCTCCCACTTGTGTGGCAGGAAGCAACTCATTATTTTCCACCTCACAGCATGTACATGAACAGGAAGCGGGAACTGGGAGCAGATCGGGGCTTGAACCAAGACACCTTGATATGGGATGCAGACATCCAAAGGAGCAGCATAAGTGTTACATGAGATGGTTGACTCTATCAGGTATTAATTTTTGAGTAAGTTAAAAAGAAATGCATATGTAGCATTCAGCAGCATAACAAAGAATCATCTAGCAGGTATCTTGAGCCTGACAGGCTGGCTGTGAAATGAGAACTAGCAAATGCAAAGGACAGAAGGGAGAACACTGCTCTACTTAACATTCCCAACTCATGAGGAAGAAGGAGATTGTGGGGCAGTTTGTACAGTGCCAGAATTATTTTGGAAGATTGGTTGGAAAGAAGGGGTCTGGGTATTTTATGAAAGGATATCTGAAAAGAAGTCCTAAGGAATATATTCTAGGACTATGGAATTTCAACATTTCCAACTGATTCTTGGCACATTCTAGGTTGAGAAGCACAGGAATTACAGAGCATCATGGAGAATTGATATGAATCATACCTGTTATTGACTGCTAATTTACTGGGATGATGGACCTTGGGAAGATCCCTGTGGGCCTCCCTGCTGGGGTCCTCCTTGTTGGGGTGCTCCTTGTGGACCTCCCTGCTGGGGTCCTCCTTGTTGGGGTGCTCCTTGTTGGCCTCCCTGCTGGGGTCCTCCTATGTTGGGGTGCTCCTTGTTGGCCTCCCTGCTGGGGTCCTCCTTGTTGGGGTGCTCCTTGTTGGCCCTCCCTGCTGGGGTCCTCCTTGTTGGGGGTGCTCCTTGTGGGCCTCCTCGTTGAGGTCCACCTTGTTGGGGTGCTCCTTGTGGGCCTCCTCGTTGAGGTCCTCCTTGTTGGGGTGCTCCTTGTGGGCCTCCCTGCTGGGGTCCACCTTGTTGGGGTGCTCCTTGTGGGCCTCTCTGCTGGGGTCCACCTTGTTGGGGTGCTCCTTGTGGGCCTCCCTGCTGGGGTCCTCCTTGTTGGGGTGCTCCTTGTTGGCCTCCCTGCTGGGGTCCTCCTTGTTGGGGTGCTCCTTGTTGGCCTCCCTGCTGGGGTCCTCCTTGTTGGGGTGCTCCTTGTTGGCCTCCTCGTTGAGGTCCACCTTGTTGGGGTGCTCCTTGTTGGCCTCCCTGCTGGGGTCCTCCTTGCTGGGGTGCTCCTTGTGGTCCTCCTTTTTGTGGTACACCTTATAGCAAAAAAGGGTGAGTTTAGTGACAGAAGAGTCTCTTCTATTGTTAGTCTGACCTTCACACACATTGTTTTTTTCCATGCAATTGCTCCTCAACTACGTAACTACCTCATGCACATAGCTTTTGTAGGTACTACTCATCCTAATTCATATAGTAATGGAATGCAACCTTTCATTTCTTATGTCCTAGGACAAGTGTGTTTCCTGGCTTTAGGCAAAAGGAGTGCTCTTGGAAACTTGCACTTTCACAGAGGATGTGTCCGAGGACAGAAAGAAAGTAAATGTCACCTGTGCTGCCAGTTTTGGGGCACAACTAAATCTTGCTAAATGTACTCCATGTCTGTTCTTCTGAAACTTAAGTTCAGAGTAGAGCTACTTCTTTGGACCCCAAAACACAAGCAGAGAAGAACAAAAGCGAAACACAAAAGGGTAGAGCATACAAAATCCACCAAAACGTGGAAATGTTTATCATCTTCAGGGATGCACATGTGTAGAATCAGAGAAAGCAGGGCCGGTGCTGTGGTGTAGCTGGTAAAGCTGCAACCCGCAGTGCCAGCATCCCATATAGGTGCCAGTTCAAGTTCCGGCTGCTCCACTTCTGATCCAGGTGTCTGCTATTGCCTGGGAAACCAGTAGAAGATGGCCCAAGTCCTTGGACCTTTGCACCCATGCGGGAGACCTGGAGGAAGCTTCTGGCTCCTGGCTTCGGATAGGCACAGCTCCTGCTGTTGCAGCCAACTGGAGAGTGAACCAGCAGATGGAAGACCTCTCTCTTTCTCTCTCTCTCTATCTCTGCCTCTCCTTCTCTCTCTGTGTAACTCTGACTTTTAAATAAATAAAGAAAGAAATAAACTCATAGAGAAAGGGGCCTAAACACTAATGTCTTTACATTTCCCTCCCAAAAAAATGGACGTGCAAGGAGGAAAGCTGGGAAAAATAAGAACTTTAGGGACTCTCAGTATGATGGAGGCATAAGAATCCAGATACTTCCCCTCTGTCTGTCACCTCTGAGAAGTCATTTCTGGATGGGGGAACAGAACTACTGTTGTCATCCAGGTCTGTTGTTCAAGTTGTGACCTTGCTTATCATCCTCAGAATCAAGTTCTGGGGAGGTCTGTCTGTATTTTAGGGGTTCTTACATTCATTAATGCCTACCAAGAAGTGATGATGAGAAGACACCAGACACTGACAAGTTGCTGATGAAATCAAGGGTTATAAAAATGATAGAGAATTGATTGAGCATTACCTGATATCAATGAGGGAGAGCCTCTGTAGTGGACATCTAGGACAAGAAGCAGAGGATGAAGTGAGAAGTTAATTCAGGATCTCCCAGGGCTCACAATTTTTCAGTGGGGAAAGGGGTCCTCCAGCCGCAGCCACAGCCTGAAACCCTTTAATGTCCCTCTTTAGCCCCTCTCTGGGATGTTTTTGAAAGGGAAGAGGGATTATCAGGGCTGTTTCCCTGCTGAGCACCCACCCTGAGCTCAATGTATAGAAACCCTCTTTTGTCTTCCTTTGGATACTTCAAACCTTCCTGCTGCAATTAAGTGCTCTGGGTATTTCCAGATCTTATCTTGCTATTGCTGTAACCTCTGTTTTAGTGCTTTGGTTTTATTAATATGCTTTCTCATCAGGGTAAACAGGGATAAGTTTTGGGAGCAATCCTATGGCTACTGCTCAGAGGACATTGACATATTCAGTGTGGATGGGAGAAATATGAGTAATTTGAGACCTGGTGATTCTTTTTCTGTATGGGAAGTGAGAAAAATGGATTACATGGGTCTTTATGTCTGAAATATTTCCAATGTGTGTCTCCTTCACCTGAACTGCATTCTCTCTGCAGATGCAGCCCTCATGTCCCATTTGATTACAGGAATATCTTTACTACAGTACATCTCTGTGTCTCTCTTTACCGTTGTCCTGTATATCCTTCACAGTGCAATCAGGAAGATATTTAAACACTGCAAAACTTACTTTGTCATTTCTGTGATTTAATTTTTAGTTTGTCCCAATGAGAATTTCAGTGAATACAAGGCCTTGGCATGAAAGAAAGATACAGCAGTTCTTATCACATCGTGAGAATTGTGGAGCCCCATCTTTCTTTCCATCACCCCTTCCTCCTCCTCCAATCGGCAATGTTCACCAAAGCCCAGAGGAGCATCATAGCTCCCACTTCCTGCAAATGTTTTCTTACCTTGATTTGTGCTCTGAACAGAGTTCAGGGCCAGCAGGGCCACTGAGAGCAGGATCAGCAGCATCTTGCCAGAGACTCTGGAGTTGTTCTCGAGTGTGTGCTGGGAGACTCAGAGAAGCTCCCTTTATAAGAAGGAGCAGAAGAAGGGCACCTTTGAGTTCCTCACTGTGTGCACTTCCCCTCTTGACACACTAGGCTGAGTTTGCTCACATCATGTCAACCGCATCTCTTACTTCTGTTTGGGACCAGAGCCCAGAGAATGGGGTGTGTTGGAGGATGTCAGTGTCCCATTTCTAATATGTACAATGTGTGACTTGTTCAATGATTTTGAAGGAACACTGTCCAAATTTTAAGACAAAGATGGCATTTATTCATATTTGACTTTCTTTCTGTTTTGTGAGCCTCTTTGTCGCTTTGTCTGTCTTTGCACAGTTTTTGCATGTGCGATTGCACTGGCAGTGATTCTAAAGCGATCCCCAAAAGATTCTTTTTTTTAAAAGGCTCATTGAGTTCAAAGCTCAACTTTATACTCTTCCATGATATACTAATCTCTCACATTATTGCTGACATTGGAGAAGGTTAGGAAAGGGCCAGGGCTCAGTGATTTTTGGAAAAATCATCTGTTCTTTCCCAAAAGGTATGTGGGAAACCAGAAACAGTCATCCTAAAACTTTAAGAAATCCTCTAGAAGAAACCAACTTCCCTCTACCTCTCATAAAGACAGTAAACCTAGCTAGCACTGTTCTGCTCCTCAGAACTGCCTACTGCTAATCTACTTCCTTCCAGAAGATCTTAAGGCATATTATGTTTTACCACAAAACGCCTGTGACTGGATAACCTTTTTGATTTATTCAAAAAAGAGTGCATTTATTTGGGTTGCTGAGGGAATCATACAGTGATGTATGTGGACACTTTTGTTTCAACACTCCCAAATACATTAAAAAGGATAGAATCCTTTAGGTCACTTGTGTTTTGTAACACTAGAATTCCCTGTCTAAAGCCAGATCCAGTGAATCTTACACGAGTAATATGGACCAGAGCAAACATCTGTCACATCAACTGTGCCCAAGAGTATAGTCATTGCCCATTGCAAAAGTGAACAGAAATGACCTTCATATGATCAAAAATTTATGTAAATATTATATACATAGGTACACACCATGAATGATGGTGTTTGACTACTGTGATAGCCAAAAATATAGACCATCTTCACTTTTGGCTTTAGAATCACTGCCAGTGCAATCGCACATGCAAAAACTGTGCAAAGACAGACAAAGCGACAAAGAGGCTCACAAAACAGAAAGAAAGTCAAATATGAATAAATGCCATCTTTGTCTTAAAATTTGGACAGTGTTCCTTCAAAATCATTGAACAAGTCACACATTGTACATATTAGAAATGGGACACTGACATCCTCCAACACACCCCATTCTCTGGGCTCTGGTCCCAAACAGAAGTAAGAGATGCGGTTGACATGATGTGAGCAAACTCAGCCTAGTGTGTCAAGAGGGGAAGTGCACACAGTGAGGAACTCAAAGGTGCCCTTCTTCTGCTCCTTCTTATAAAGGGAGCTTCCCTGAGTCTCCCAGCACACACTCGAGAACAACTCCAGAGTCTCTGGCAAGATGCTGCTGATCCTGCTCTCAGTGGCCCTGCTGGCCCTGAACTCTGTTCAGAGCACAAATCAAGGTAAGAAAACATTTGCAGGAAGTGGGAGCTATGATGCTCCTCTGGGCTTTGGTGAACATTGCCGATTGGAGGAGGAGGAAGGGGTGATGGAAAGAAAGATGGGGCTCCACAATTCTCACGATGTGATAAGAACTGCTGTATCTTTCTTTCATGCCAAGGCCTTGTATTCACTGAAATTCTCATTGGGACAAACTAAAAATTAAATCACAGAAATGACAAAGTAAGTTTTGCAGTGTTTAAATATCTTCCTGATTGCACTGTGAAGGATATACAGGACAACGGTAAAGAGAGACACAGAGATGTACTGTAGTAAAGATATTCCTGTAATCAAATGGGACATGAGGGCTGCATCTGCAGAGAGAATGCAGTTCAGGTGAAGGAGACACACATTGGAAATATTTCAGACATAAAGACCCATGTAATCCATTTTTCTCACTTCCCATACAGAAAAAGAATCACCAGGTCTCAAATTACTCATATTTCTCCCATCCACACTGAATATGTCAATGTCCTCTGAGCAGTAGCCATAGGATTGCTCCCAAAACTTATCCCTGTTTACCCTGATGAGAAAGCATATTAATAAAACCAAAGCACTAAAACAGAGGTTACAGCAATAGCAAGATAAGATCTGGAAATACCCAGAGCACTTAATTGCAGCAGGAAGGTTTGAAGTATCCAAAGGAAGACAAAAGAGGGTTTCTATACATTGAGCTCAGGGTGGGTGCTCAGCAGGGAAACAGCCCTGATAATCCCTCTTCCCTTTCAAAAACATCCCAGAGAGGGGCTAAAGAGGGACATTAAAGGGTTTCAGGCTGTGGCTGCGGCTGGAGGACCCCTTTCCCCACTGAAAAATTGTGAGCCCTGGGAGATCCTGAATTAACTTCTCACTTCATCCTCTGCTTCTTGTCCTAGATGTCCACTACAGAGGCTCTCCCTCATTGATATCAGGTAATGCTCAATCAATTCTCTATCATTTTTATAACCCTTGATTTCATCAGCAACTTGTCAGTGTCTGGTGTCTTCTCATCATCACTTCTTGGTAGGCATTAATGAATGTAAGAACCCCTAAAATACAGACAGACCTCCCCAGAACTTGATTCTGAGGATGATAAGCAAGGTCACAACTTGAACAACAGACCTGGATGACAACAGTAGTTCTGTTCCCCCATCCAGAAATGACTTCTCAGAGGTGACAGACAGAGGGGAAGTATCTGGATTCTTATGCCTCCATCATACTGAGAGTCCCTAAAGTTCTTATTTTTCCCAGCTTTCCTCCTTGCACGTCCATTTTTTTTGGGAGGGAAATGTAAAGACAGTGTTTAGGCCCCTTTCTCTATGAGTTTGTTTATTTATTTATTTCTTTATTTATTTAAAAGTCAGAGTTACACAGAGAGAGAAGGAGAGACAGAGATAGAGAGAGAGAGAAAGAGAGAGGTCTTCCATCTGCTGGTTCACTCTCCAGTTGGCTGCAACAGCAGGAGCTGTGCCTATCCGAAGCCAGGAGCCAGAAGCTTCCTCCAGGTCTCCCGCATGGGTGCAAAGGTCCAAGGACTTGGGCCATCTTCTACTGGTTTCCCAGGCAATAGCAGACACCTGGATCAGAAGTGGAGCAGCCGGAACTTGAACTGGCACCTATATGGGATGCTGGCACTGCGGGTTGCAGCTTTACCAGCTACACCACAGCACCGGCCCTGCTTTCTCTGATTCTACACATGTGCATTCCTGAAGATGATAAACATTTCCACGTTTTGGTGGATTTTGTATGCTCTATCCTTTTGTGTTTCGCTTTTGTTCTTCTCTGCTTGTGTTTTGGGGTCCAAAGAAGTAGCTCTACTCTGAACTTAAGTTTCAGAAGAACAGACATGGAGTACATTTAGCAAGATTTAGTTGTGCCCCAAAACTGGCAGCACAGGTGACATTTACTTTCTTTCTGTCCTCGGACACATCCTCTGTGAAAGTGCAAGTTTCCAAGAGCACTCCTTTTGCCTAAAGCCAGGAAACACACTTGTCCTAGGACATAAGAAATGAAAGGTTGCATTCCATTACTATATGAATTAGGATGAGTAGTACCTACAAAAGCTATGTGCATGAGGTAGTTACGTAGTTGAGGAGCAATTGCATGGAAAAAAACAATGTGTGTGAAGGTCAGACTAACAATAGAAGAGACTCTTCTGTCACTAAACTCACCCTTTTTTGCTATAAGGTGTACCACAAAAAGGAGGACCACAAGGAGCACCCCAGCAAGGAGGACCCCAGCAGGGAGGCCAACAAGGAGCACCCCAACAAGGTGGACCTCAACGAGGAGGCCCACAAGGAGCACCCCAACAAGGAGGACCCCAGCAGGGAGGCCAACAAGGAGCACCCCAACAAGGAGGACCCCAGCAGGGAGGCCAACAAGGAGCACCCCAACAAGGAGGACCCCAGCAGGGAGGCCCACAAGGAGCACCCCAACAAGGTGGACCCCAGCAGAGAGGCCCACAAGGAGCACCCCAACAAGGTGGACCCCAGCAGGGAGGCCCACAAGGAGCACCCCAACAAGGAGGACCCCAGCAGGGAGGCCCACAAGGAGCACCCCAACAAGGAGGACCTCAACGAGGAGGCCAACAAGGAGCACCCCAACAAGGAGGACCCCAGCAGGGAGGCCAACAAGGAGCACCCCAACAAGGTGGACCCCAGCAGGGAGGCCCACAAGGAGCACCCCAACAAGGAGGACCCCAGCAGGGAGGCCCACAAGGAGCACCCCAACAAGGAGGACCCCAGCAGGGAGGCCCACAAGGAGCACCCCAACAAGGAGGACCTCAACGAGGAGGCCCACAAGGAGCTCCCCAACAAGGTGGACCTCAACGAGGAGGCCCACAAGGAGCACCCCAACAAGGAGGACCCCAGCAGGGAGGCCAACAAGGAGCACCCCAACAAGGAGGACCCCAGCAGGGAGGCCCACAAGGAGCACCCCAACAAAGTGGACCCCAGCAGAGAGGCCAACAAGGAGCACCCCAGCAAGGAGGACCCCAGCAGGGAGGCCCACAAGGAGCACCCCAACAAGGTGGAGCTCAACGAGGAGGCCCACAAGGAGCACCCCAACAAGGTGGACCTCAACGAGGAGGCCCACAAGGAGCACCCCAACAAGGAGGACCCCAGCAGGGAGGCCAACAAGGAGCACCCCAACAAGGAGGACCCCAGCAGGGAGGCCAACAAGGAGCACCCCAACAAGGAGGACCCCAGCAGGGAGGCCAACAAGGAGCACCCCAACAAGGAGGACCCCAGCAGGGAGGCCCACAAGGAGCACCCCAACAAGGTGGACCCCAGCAGGGAGGCCCACAGGGATCTTCCCAAGGTCCATCATCCCAGTAAATTAGCAGTCAATAACAGGTATGATTCATATCAATTCTCCATGATGCTCTGTAATTCCTGTGCTTCTCAACCTAGAATGTGCCAAGAATCAGTTGGAAATGTTGAAATTCCATAGTCCTAGAATATATTCCTTAGGACTTCTTTTCAGATATCCTTTCATAAAATACCCAGACCCCTTCTTTCCAACCAATCTTCCAAAATAATTCTGGCACTGTACAAACTGCCCCACAATCTCCTTCTTCCTCATGAGTTGGGAATGTTAAGTAGAGCAGTGTTCTCCCTTCTGTCCTTTGCATTTGCTAGTTCTCATTTCACAGCCAGCCTGTCAGGCTCAAGATACCTGCTAGATGATTCTTTGTTATGCTGCTGAATGCTACATATGCATTTCTTTTTAACTTACTCAAAAATTAATACCTGATAGAGTCAACCATCTCATGTAACACTTATGCTGCTCCTTTGGATGTCTGCATCCCATATCAAGGTGTCTTGGTTCAAGCCCCGATCTGCTCCCAGTTCCCGCTTCCTGTTCATGTACATGCTGTGAGGTGGAAAATAATGAGTTGCTTCCTGCCACACAAGTGGGAGACCTGGCTACTGACATTGGGCTATTCCAATCCTACACTCTGTGGGCATCTGAGGAGGAACCATTGAATAGAGAATCTTTTGGCTATCTTTATCTATTTACTCTTTCCATACCAAATAAACTCATAATTTTCTAAGAAAAACTAATTCCTTCTCATTGTAAATAAAAACCTGATTTGAAACGTACCTAGTTAATGATGAAAGTATATCTCATCCTACAACCTCACCTTTCACAGAATGCCTTCACTACTAACCCCTTGCACATCTTCATCGAAGTACTTTATATATATATATATATATATACACACACATACATACACGTGCACATAGAATCCTTTCTTCAGAAACAATCTCATAATTAATATGGAGATCTATGTATAATTTTTAAATAAAGATCCAAGAAAACTTCCAGTTAACAGAGATGTACCGATCTCTTCATTAATGTGTTTCTGACGTTGATTTTAAAAAGATATTTATGAGAAAGGTAGAGGAACAGGTTGATAAAAGAGACAGAGAGGGAGACAGAACAGAGCGAGAGAGAGAGAGAGAGAGAGAGAGAGAGAGAGAGAAAGACTTCCAACCACTGTTTCACTCCCTAAAGGCCCCAGAATGGTTGAAGCCAGGAGCCTGAACTTCATCCAGGTCTCTCCTATATGGGTGGCAGGGACCCAAGAACTTGAGGCAACTTCTACTGCTTTCCGAGTTACATTATCATGGTCTCATTGGGAAGTACATAAAAGAGAGTCAAACCAGCACTCATATGGGATACCAGTATTGCAGGTGCAGTTTAACTCACTACATCACCATGCCAGACCCACTGTTGTTCATATGTTCTGTGTGTTTTTCTTTAACACTGGTATAGTACTGCATTATGTGACTATTCTGCTTTCTTTAACACCCTGACAAGGGACATTTAGGCTGCATTCAGTTTTTCCTTATTGCAGCATATGTTTCAGCAACCATCTTGGTAAATATATCCTTCAACATTTTAATATCAACTAAAAGATAAGCAACTAGGATGAGTCTACTTTCTTCATCTTGTGAAACACAATCTGTAGGATGTGATCTCCTGGGTGCATATTAAGACTGAACAAGGAGACATGAAGAAAGAAAAGGGGGAAGGGGAAGTGGAAGAGGCAGGGATGGTGTTTTCTTTATCTACTTCACTAAACCAATGGGGAATCAAAACTTTCCTGCTGAGTTGTGTCTTCGCTATGAACATTCCTGTTTGTGTGCTTGTCTATTTCAGAAAGTGAATAAGATAAGAAGACTTCCCCCCCCTCAGAACACAAGAACAATGTGGTCATAACTCTGTCTTCCAAGTAACAATAAAATAATCAGCATGCAATTATGGTTTTCTCTGTCTCTGTTTTTGAGTGTTTTTAAACCTGGAGTTTGAAAGCCATGAACACAACATGTGTGAATCTCACTGATTGTTCAGCATCTTTGCCACACAAGGCACTTCTAGCTGAAAGAGTTCCTTTATGTCCAGCTTTATTGAAACCTACAACACAAACGTAATTTTAAAACTGATTGATTGATCGATTTAATTTTGGTATACACACACACACACATACGTATCAAAGGAGTCTTCCTATCTTCTGGTTCATTCCCCCAATGCCACATGACCGGGAAGAGGAAGCTCTACACAGGGGCTCTGAAGAAGCAGATCTAGTTCATGAGATACAGGGGCTCAAACAATGAAGACATTTCTGTGTCTCTGACAATATACATTATCAGAAAGCTGGAAAAGGAAGTGGAGATGAGATTCAAACCCGAACACTCCCATATGGGACATACCAGATAGTGCTTTAACTACTAGAGCAAGCAAATTCCCTAAGAACAGTAATTGTTATAATTAGTTTCATATTTTTCTTGATATTTTTATAATTGTAGAGGAAAGAACAAAAAGTAACAAATGTGAGGAATTTATAGAGACTGAGCAATCACTAAAATACCCTAAATAATTAATTGCTATTTCTAAGGAAATGAATGTGTTTTAAGCCTCTCCTCTTTAAAACTCACACACTCTCCCACTTTATCTTTGCTCAGACCCATCTATTCCCATTTCCTCCACCATTCTTTTTGAATTTCATACAAGAGGCAACATCAGGTATTAAGGTGTAAGAAATTAAGAACCCTTCAGAGGTAAGATTAAAGTCTACCATTTTTTTCTTAGTATCTCTGGACTCTGAGAAAACTAACATAACCAAATTATGAAAATAACATTTTAACAATACACATTAGATAGCTGCATTTTCCATACAATTTCTTAAGACACAAGTAAATAGCATATACCTATGGAACTCAAACAAGGTTATGACTGAGTGTCAGAGGAAGCAGTCAAGCCTCCATTTGAGATATCTGCATCCAATATTGGAATACATGGGTTCAAGTCCCATTTCAGCTCTCAGTTATAGCCTCTGTTAAAGGACTTAGGTCTCTCACTCACATGAAAATCTGTATGATTACCTGGCTTCATGGTCAAGCCCCAACTCTCACAGTCATTTGGGAAATGAACCAAAAGATGGAAGAACTCCCTGTGTTCTTCTTTCTCCATGTATGCCTGTCTGCATTTCAAATTAACACAAAAAATTAATTTGTGTGTAGAAGTTAAACAAGGAGATTCCAAATGGCAGAATACAGAGGAAGCTCACTGCTCTAGGCTAGGGCAAGACAGTTTTAAAAAATGGAGAAAGTGCAATCTAGGATATGGTTAGGGATAAAACTGCAGAGGAAACGCAACGAAAGGAAGAGGTGCTCTGTGGCTCTATGCGGAGGGTGTGGACACACAGCACAAACACAGACACAACATACGACCTGAGCACCCAAGAGCCTCAACACCATCTTTGGAGAGTGATATAAAACCAAACTGCAGCAGTCCAAGCCACTAGCAATATAGGTTCAGGGAGAGCTTGCTATAAGTCTGGCCTAGAGTCCTTTGGTAGATCGTGTACCTGTCAAACTAGAGGGGAAAACAGACGTATGTTTCTCATTCCCTGTCTCCCTGACAATGGGACCCTGCAACTGGAAGAGAGAAGGCAGGTGCCATTTTGGACATATATAACAGCTACACCAGCTTGTGTCTAAGTGTCTAGCAACCAAATGAGAGGAGATACCTGAGTCTTGCTGGGAGGACTGATGGGGGTTGGATGCCCACTTAGGACTGTGAGGTACCCTCAGTCACCCAGCACATCACAGGCTATAGGGCTCAGACTGCCTGAGTGGAGTACCCACAGGCGGCTGGCTCTGGGCGCATGTCCACCTCCATGTGGATGAGACGAACTGATAGGGCAGAGTGGATACTTGCACCCCGGGACTTGGGGAGGCTGGCTTGCTGGGACTGTGGAAACACTGTGGCAGTGTGGGAGGGCTCAGGGTGTGTTTGGGTCTCTGAGCAGTTGTTGTGGGCAGCTCCACATGCTCAGGGCTACCTGATGCCTGATGAGGGGGAAGGTCATTGCAGTAGAATACGCTCACATAGAGGACTGCTTGTGTGGTTCTTGTGGCAGCACAGATGAATATTATATCCAATGCAGCAAGCACGCAGGCATTGGGGACCTTGGAGGCGAGAAGTAGAGGATGAGACTACACCAACAGAGCTGATCCAATCTCTCCTTTCTGATAAAAGAAAAAAAAAAAACACAGAGACATCTACACAACCAACTTGGATGTCACCTTCAGTATTCCCCTACACTGGAGCACTGGAGAGAGCTCCCTGGACACACCCAGCACACACCTCTGAGTATTCACAGAAAGAATGGACACTAAGCCACAGAAGCATAGACCAAAGATAAAAGCCATCAGAGGAGAAAAGAGAAAAACAACAACAGTATCTCCACAAAAACGTAAAAATAAATGGAGACACTCAAGAAGCAAGATTATGGAAGAAAACATAATACTCCCAAAGAAATACAATAACACTTCAATACTACAATGTGAAGATGAAAAGATTGATGAAATACAAGAAATGGAATTACTTGGATTACTCCGTACCAATAAGAAATAATCACAATTTAAAGAAACCCATATATCACATGAATAAAAAATTTTTCCCATGAAATTATGATGTTAAAGAGAAACCATAATGAAATATTAGAAATGAAGAATTCAATAGGTGATTCATAGATGAAATAAAAAAAATGCAGTGGAGAGCTGTAACAACAGACTTGGTAAGGCATAAGAGAGAATATCCAAGTTAGAAGAAAAATCTCTAGAAATTCTAGTCACACCAAAAAAAAGGAAGATGAAGAAATCAGAAAAATTAAAAGCAATGTTGGATAATTATAGGATATTATCAAATGACCCAACATACAGGACTCTGGAATTCCTGAAGGCCTATTTAGTTAAAACTTCCCCAATTTGGAGAAAAAAAGGGATGTCCACGTATAGCAAGCACATAGAACCCCTAACAGACACGACCAGAAAAGATCTTCACCGTGACACACTGGAGTCAAACTCTCCAGAGTAACACAAAGATTCCAAAAGGTGCATGAAAGAAATGTCAGATTACTTTCAGAAGATCTCCAATTGGACTCACAGCTGATTTCTCATCAGAAACCCTACAGGTTAGGAAAGAATTGCAAGACATCGTCCAAGTCTTAAGAGAAAAAAAAATTGTCAAGCCAGATACTCTGAATAGCTCTCATTTATGAATGAAGGTGAAATAAAGACCTTCCATAACAAATAGAAATTGAAAGAATTTGTTACCACTAAGCAAGCCTTACAGAAGATGCTTAAGGATGTGCTACACACAGAAACACAGAAACATAGTCATCCATATGAAAGAATGTGAAGTAGAAAATCTCCCAGTAAAAGTACAAAAGAAATCCAAAGTAAACAATAGGAAGATTTATGGAAAAATGGCAGGGCCAAGTCATTACTTACCAACAGTCACCTTGTATATAAAAGGACTCAGCTCTTAGTTAAAAGATACAGAATTGCTGATCAGATATAAAACAAGACCCATCTATTTACTGCCTACTAGAAATACATCTCACCAATAAACATACCTACAGACTGAAAGTGAAAGGATGGAAAAGATATTCAGTGCTAACCAAAAGCAAATGAGAGGCCGGCGCCACGGCTCACTTGGCTAATCCTCCGCCTGCAGCACCGGCACACCGGGTTCTAGTCCCAGTTGGGGCACCGGATTCTGTCCTGGTGGCTCCTCTTCCAGTCCAGTTCTCTGCTGTGGCCCGGGAAGGCAGTGGAGGATGGCCCAAGTGCTTGAGACCTGCACCCGCATGGGAGACCAGGAGGAAGCACCTGGCTCCTGGCTTTGGATCGGCGTGGCGCACTGGCCTCAGCGCACCGGCCGTAGCGGCCATTAGGAGAGTGAACCAATGGAAGGAAGACCTTTCTCTCTGTCTCTCTCTCTCTCTCTCTCTCTCTCTCTCTCTCTCACTGTCTAACTCTCCCTGTGGGGGGAACAAAAAAGCAAATGAGTGCTGCCGTAGTCTTCCTAATATCAGACAACATAGACTTTAACACAAAAACTGTTAAAAGAGACAAAGAAGTGGCGCAGGCACCCCGGCTTCTAGTCCCAGTTGGGGTGCCGGATTCTGTCCCGGTTGCTCCTCTTTCAGTCCAGCTCTCTGCTGTGGTCCAGGAAGGCAGTGGAGGATGGCCCAAGTGTTTGGGCCCTACACCCGCATGGGAGACCAGGAGGAAGCACCTGGCACCTGGCTTCAGATCGGCGCAGCGCGCCGGGCCGCACCACACCAGCCATAATGGCCATTTGGTGAGTGAACCAACGGAAAAGGAAGACCTTTCTCTCCATCTCTCTCTCTGACTGTCTAACTCTGCCTATCAAAAAAATAAAATAAAACAAAATAAGAGAGACAAAGAAGGACACTCTGTAATGATTAAAGGATCAATTCAATAGGAAGATATGGCTACAATAAGTGTAAATGCACCCAATTACAGGTTATTTGGTTATTTTAAAAAATGTTAACAGGTCTAAAGGGAGACAAGACTCCAAAATAGTATTGGGGGGCTTCAATACCCCATTTTCATCAATAGACAGATCAACAAGACAGAAAATCAGCCAAGAAACAACAGATCTAACCAACACTATAGACCAAATGGACCTAATGTTTATCTACAGAATTTTTCATCCTACTATTGTAAAATACACATTCTTCTCACCAGTACATAGAACATTCTCCAGGGTAGTCCACCTTCTAGGCCATAAAGGGAGTTTCAACAAAACAAAAAATCAAAATCATTCCATGCATCTTCTCTGATCACAATGGTATGAAGCTAGAAATTACCATCTCAAGCATCTCTAGAACATATGCAGACTCATGGAGACTGAACAACATGCTACTAAATGAACAATGGGCCATAAAAGAAATCAAAAAAGAAATTAAAAAATTTTTGAAAAACAAATGAAGATGACAATACAACATATCAAAACTTATGGGATATGGCCAGCGCTGCAGCTCAACAGGCTAATCCTCCGCCTAGCAGAGCCGGCACACCGGGTTCTAGTCCCAGTCGGGGCACCGGATTCTGTCCCGGTTGCCCCTCTTCCAGATCAGCTTTCTGCTATGGCCCAGGAGTGCAGTGGAGGATGGCCCAAGTGCTTGGGCCCTGCACCCCATGGGAGACCAGGAGAAGCACCTGGCTCCTGGCTTCGGATCAGCGCGGTGCGCCGGCCGCAGTGCACCGGCCGCGGCGGCCATTAGAGGGTGCACCAATGGCAAAAGGAAGACCTTTCTCTCTGTCTCTCTCTCTCACTGTCCACTCTGCCTGTCAAAAAAAAAAAAAAATAACCTTATGGGATAGAGCAAAAGCAGTGTTAGCAGACTGTTTAGGGTGGGGGTAGGGTTCCAAAATGGTGGAATAGG